TCCCAACCCAACCTTGGGGGCCCAATAATTGGGCCAAGGTTGGGTTCCAACCTCAAACTAGGGTAAACCCTAGTTGTGCACCCAAACTAAGTTTGGGTGCCTATCTCTAGTCAAAGCTTATATGATGATGCAGGTTACAATAAAGATGGTAATCTGACAAGTGAGTCGCCTTGAAGCCGTGAGAGTGAGTCGCCTTGAAGCCATGAGAGTGAGTCGCCTTGAAGCCATGAGAGTGAGTCGCCTTGAAGCCATGAGAGTGAGTCGCCTTGAAGCCATGAGAGTGAGTCGCCTTGAAGCCATGAGAGTGAGTCGCCTTGAAGCCATGAGAGTGAGTCGCCTTGAAGCCATGAGAGTGAGTCGCCTTGAAGCCATGAGAGTGAGTCGCCTTGAAGCCATGAGAGTGAGTCGCCTTGAAGCCATGAGAGTGAGTCGCCTTGAAGCCATGAGAGTGAGTCGCCTTGAAGCCATGAGAGTGAATCGCCTTGAAGCCATGAGAGTGAGTCGCCTTGAAGCCATGAGAGTGAGTCGCCTTGAAGCCATGAGAGTGAGTCGCCTTGAAGCCATGAGAGTGAGTCGCCTTGAAGCCATGAGAGTGCGTCGCCTTGAAGCCATGAGAGTGAGTCGCCTTGAAGCCATGAGAGTGAGTCGCCTTGAAGCCATGAGAGTGCGTCGCCTTGAAGCCATGAGAGTGAGTCGCCTTGAAGCCATGAGAGTGAGTCGCCTTGAAGCCATGAGAGTGAGTCGCCTTGAAACCATGAGAGTGAGTCGTCTTGAAGCCATGAGAGTGAGTCGCCTTGAAGCCATGAGAGTGAGTCGCCTTGAAGCCATGAGAGTGAGTCGCCTTGAAGCCATGAGAGTGAGTCGCCTTGAAGTTATGAGAGTGAGTCGCCTTGAAGCCATGAGAGTGAGTCGCCTTGAAGCCATGAGAGTGAGTCGCCTTGAAGCCATGAGAGTGAGTCGCCTTGAAGCCATGAGAGTTAATCGCCTTGAAGCCATGAGAGTGAGTCGCCTTGAAGCCATGAGAGTGAGTCGCCTTGAAGCCATGAGAGTGAGTCGTCTTGAAGCCGTGAGAGTGAGGCGCCTTGAAGCCGTGAGAGTGAGTCGCCTTGAAGCCATGAGAGTGAATCGCCTTGAAGCCATGAGAGTGAGTCGCCTTGAAGCCATGAGAGTGAGTCGCCTTGAAGCCATGAGAGTGAGTCGCCTTGAAGCCATGAGAGTGAGTCGCCTTGAAGCCATGAGAGTGAGTCGCCTTGAAGCCATGAGAGTGAGTCGCCTTGAAGCCATGAGAGTGAGTCGCCTTGAAGCCATGAGAGTGAGTCGCCTTGAAGCCATGAGAGTGAGTCGCCTTGAAGCCATGAGAGTGAGTCGCCTTGAAGCCATGAGAGTGAGTCGCCTTGAAGCCATGAGAGTGAGTCGCCTTGAAGCCATGAGAGTGAGTCGCCTTGAAGCCATGAGAGTGAGTCGCCTTGAAGCCATGAGAGTGAGTCGCCTTGAAGCCATGAGAGTGAGTCGCCTTGAAGCCATGAGAGTTAATCGCCTTGAAGCCATGAGAGTGAGTCGCCTTGAAGCCATGAGAATGAGTCGCCTTGAAGCCATGAGAGTGAGTCGCCTTGAAGCCATGAGAGTGAGTCGCCTTGAAGCCATGAGAGTGAGTCGCCTTGAAGCCGTGAGAGTGAGTCGCCTTGAAGCCGTGAGAGTGAGTCGCCTTGAAGCCGTGAGAGTGAGTCGCCTTGAAGCCGTGAGAGTGAGTCGCCTTGAAGCCGTGAGAGTGAGTCGCCTTGAAGCCGTGAGAGTGAGTCGCCTTGAAGCCGTGAGAGTGAGTCGCCTTGAAGCCATGAGAGTGAGTCGCCTTGAAGCCATGAGAGTGAGTCGCCTTGAAGCCATGAGAGTGAGTCGCCTTGAAGCCATGAGAGTGAGTCGCCTTGAAGCCATGAGAGTGCGTCGCCTTGAAGCCATGAGAGTGAGTCGCCTTGAAGCCATGAGAGTGAGTCGCCTTGAAGCCATGAGAGTGAGTCGCCTTGAAACCATGAGAGTGAGTCGTCTTGAAGCCATGAGAGTGAGTCGCCTTGAAGCCATGAGAGTGAGTCGCCTTGAAGCCATGAGAGTGAGTCGCCTTGAAGCCATGAGAGTGAGTCGCCTTGAAGCCATGAGAGTGAGTCGCCTTGAAGCCATGAGAGTGAGTCGCCTTGAAGCCATGAGAGTGAGTCGCCTTGAAGCCATGAGAGTGAGTCGCCTTGAAGCCATGAGAGTGAGTCGCCTTGAAGCCATGAGAGTGAGTCGCCTTGAAGCCATGAGAGTGAGTCGCCTTGAAGCCATGAGAGTGAGTCGCCTTGAAGCCATGAGAGTGAGTCGCCTTGAAGCCATGAGAGTGAGTCGCCTTGAAGCCATGAGAGTGAGTCGCCTTGAAGCCATGAGAGTGAGTCGCCTTGAAGCCATGAGAGTGAGTCGCCTTGAAGCCATGAGAGTGAGTCCCCTTGAAGCCATGAGAGTGAGTCGCCTTGAAGCCATGAGAGTGAGTCGCCTTGAAGCCATGAGAGTTAATCGCCTTGAAGCCATGAGAGTGAGTCGCCTTGAAGCCATGAGAGTGAGTCCCCTTGAAGCCATGAGAGTGCGTCGCCTTGAAGCCATGAGAGTGAGTCGCCTTGAAGCCATGAGAGTGAGTCGCCTTGAAGCCGTGAGAGTGAGTCGCCTTGAAGCCGTGAGAGTGAGTCGCCTTGAAGCCGTGAGAGTGAGTCGCCTTGAAGCCGTGAGAGTGAGTCGCCTTGAAGCCGTGAGAGTGAGTCGCCTTGAAGCCGTGAGAGTGAGTCGCCTTGAAGCCATGAGAGTGAGTCGCCTTGAAGCCGTGAGAGTGAGTCGCCTTGAAGCCATGAGAGTGAGTCGCCTTGAAGCCATGAGAGTGAGTCGCCTTGAAGCCATGAGAGTGAGTCGCCTTGAAGCCATGAGAGTGAGTCGCCTTGAAGCCATGAGAGTGAATCGCCTTGAAGCCATGAGAGTGAGTCGCCTTGAAGCCATGAGAGTGAGTCGCCTTGAAGCCATGAGAGTGAGTCGCCTTGAAGCCATGAGAGTGAGTCGCCTTGAAGCCATGAGAGTGAGTCGCCTTGAAGCCATGAAAGTGAGTCACCTTGAAGCCATGAGAGTGAATCGCCTTGAAGCCATGAGAGTGAGTCGCCTTGAAGCCATGAGAGTGAGTCGCCTTGAAGCCATGAGAGTGAGTCGCCTTGAAGCCATGAGAGTGAGTCGCCTTGAAGCCATGAGAGTGAGTCGCCTTGAAGCCATGAGAGTGAGTCGCCTTGAAGCCATGAGAGTGAGTCGCCTTGAAGCCATGAGAGTGAGTCGCCTTGAAGCCATGAGAGTGAGTCGCCTTGAAGCCATGAGAGTGAGTCGCCTTGAAGCCATGAGAGTGAGTCGCCTTGAAGCCATGAGAGTGAGTCGCCTTGAAGCCATGAGAGTGAGTCGCCTTGAAGTTATGAGAGTGAGTCGCCTTGAAGCCATGAGAGTGAGTCGCCTTGAAGCCATGAGAGTGAGTCGCCTTGAAGCCATGAGAGTGAGTCGCCTTGAAGCCATGAGAGTGAGTCGCCTTGAAGCCATGAGAGTGAGTCGCCTTGAAGCCATGAGAGTGAGTCGCCTTGAAGCCATGAGAGTGAGTCGTCTTGAAGCCGTGAGAGTGAGGCGCCTTGAAGCCGTGAGAGTGAGTCGCCTTGAAGCCATGAGAGTGAATCGCCTTGAAGCCATGAGAGTGAGTCGCCTTGAAGCCATGAGAGTGAGTCGCCTTGAAGCCATGAGAGTGAGTCGCCTTGAAGCCATGAGAGTGAGTCGCCTTGAAGCCATGAGAGTGAGTCGCCTTGAAGCCATGAGAGTGAGTCGCCTTGAAGCCATGAGAGTGAGTCGCCTTGAAGCCATGAGAGTGAGTCGCCTTGAAGCCATGAGAGTGAGTCGCCTTGAAGCCATGAGAGTGAGTCGCCTTGAAGCCATGAGAGTGAGTCGCCTTGAAGCCATGAGAGTGAGTCGCCTTGAAGCCATGAGAGTGAGTCGCCTTGAAGCCATGAGAGTGAGTCGCCTTGAAGCCATGAGAGTGAGTCGCCTTGAAGCCATGAGAGTGAGTCGCTTTGAAGCCATGAGAGTGAGTCGCCTTGAAGCCATGAGAGTGAGTCGCCTTGAAGCCATGAGAGTGAGTCGCCTTGAAGCCATGAGAGTGAGTCGCCTTGAAGCCATGAGAGTGAGTCGCCTTGAAGCCATGAGAGTGAGTCGCCTTGAAGCCATGAGTGAGTCGCCTTGAAGCCATGAGAGTGAGTCGCCTTGAAGCCATGAGAGTGAGTCGCCTTGAAGCCATGAGTGAGTCGCCTTGAAGCCATGAGTGAGTCGCCTTGAAGCCATGAGAGTGAGTCGCCTTGAAGCCATGAGAGTGAGTCGCCTTGAAGCCATGAGAGTGAGTCGCCTTGAAGCCATGAGAGTGAGTCGCCTTGAAGCCATGAGAGTGAGTCGCCTTGAAGCCATGAGAGTGAGTCGCCTTGAAGCCATGAGAGTGAGTCGCCTTGAAGCCATGAGAGTGAGTCGCCTTGAAGCCATGAGAGTGAGTCGCCTTGAAGCCATGAGAGTGAGTCGCCTTGAAGCCATGAGAGTGAGTCGCCTTGAAGCCATGAGAGTGAGTCGCCTTGAAGCCATGAGAGTGAGTCGCCTTGAAGCCATGAGAGTGAGTCAGTGCATTCCCCCCTGTCCCCCCCACGGCAGTATCAGTGCATTCCCCCCTGTCCCCCCACGGCAGTATCAGTGCATTCCCCCCTGTCCCCCCACGGCAGTATCAGTGCATTCCCCCCTGTCCCCCCACGGCAGTATCAGTGCATTCCCCCCTGTCCCCCCACGGCAGTATCAGTGCATTCCCCCCTGTCCCCCCATGGCAGTATCAGTGCATTCCCCCCTGTCCCCCCACGGCAGTATCAGTGCATTCCCCCCTGTCCCCCCACGGCAGTATCAGTGCATTCCCCCCTGTCCCCCCACGGCAGTATCAGTGCATTCCTCCACTCCACGCCCCCCTGGAGGCCTTCCTTCGCCCCTTCACTGACGCCCGTGATGCCGGCCCACTCATTCTCAGGTGATGCCGGCCCACTCATTCTCAGGTGATGCCGGCCCACTCATTCTCAGGTGATGCCGGCCCGCTCATTCTCAGGTGATGCCAGCCCTAAACCCCTATATTTCTTAGGTGAGTATCTGGTGATGCCAGCTTTGGTGGTGCCAGCTTTGGTGGTGCCAGCTTTGGTGGTGCCAGCTTTGGTGGTGCCAGCTGTGGTGGTGCCAGCTTTGGTGGTGCCAGCTTTGGTGGTGCCAGCTTTGGTGGTGCCAGCTTTGGTGGTGCCAGCTTTGGTGGTGCCAGCTTTTGTGGTTCCAGCTTTGGTTGGCGAAGGTCTTCTTCATATGGTTGCCTTGCCATGCCATGGGCACGGGGGATGCCTCCATTCTAACAATTCAAACACAAGCCATTGCTCTTCTAGGCTCATTGGGCTCTTCTAGGCTCATTGGGCTCTTCTAGGCTCATTGGGCTCTTCTCGGCTCATTGGCAACATTCTCTCGCCCCCCAAAGGCCAACCGCATTGGTCTCCTCATCCTTTCCCCCTCCTGCCCTCCTTTCTTCACCCACCACTCATTGCTGCCTCTTACACCCTCATCATCGTCCGCCGCTTTCTTCCCGTTCTCTTCGCGCCCTTGTTTCTCTCTTTCACAGTCACATGCACATCCTCCCCTCCCGTCGTCACCCCCCTCCCCCATCCCTACTCCCTCCCCCTTCCCGCTCCCCCTTCCCCTCTCCACGTCCCCCCTCCCCCTGCCTGGCTGCAGCCACTTCTCTCTGCTGCTCGCCTGCATGCTGCCTCTCTCCCTCACCCCGCCCGCCTTCCTCTCCTCCTCGCACTCTCCAATCCAAGCCTGCCACGTGGCACCCTTTGCGGGGCTGCTGAGTGTCGGCATCGGGGATACCATGGTGGGTCACGGCAGGGGGAGCATGGTACTGAGGGGACCAGTCTAGTAGGGAGGGGGGCATGGGGGTGTGGGGCAGGGGTGGGGCAGGGGTGGAGCAGGGGGGGAGCAGGGGGGAGCAGGGGGGAGTGGGGCATTGCCCTCTGTTGCTTTGATTGCCTGCACTCTTTGCCCACGCGTCATTCCGGCCTTCCCTTCACTCTCCCTCTGCTCGTCTGCTGCATGCGCCTCACACCCCTTCCTCCACTTGTCCCTTCCTGCTCTTGTGGTTCCCTTCCCATCGCTGTCCCCCTCGACACTTCTGAGTTACACCCCCACCCCACGGCCGTGCCCTGCGTGCAGGCGTCGGTGGTGGGGGTGCGATGGGGGCAGCACCGCGTGGCATCGGACTCGCCCAAGTCGTGCCAGGGCACCGCCGCCGCTGCTGCCGCCATGCTCGCCGCCTCGCTGCTGCTGCTCGCCCTGCTGCCGCCTCCCCTTGCACCCGCCCATGATGCCTCTGCTGCTGCGCTTCACAAACCGCTCTTCTCCAAGCTACTGCAGGTACGCATGCCTCACTCTCTTTCTCTTGCCTTGCTGCTCACAGCACTGGTTCTTGTGTCCCCCCACACAGCACCGAACCTTTTGCCTTGTCCCCCCAGCAGGCGCCCATAGCAGCGAGCGTGGTGGCGTGTGTGTTGTCGGCGCTGCTGGAGGCGTTCACCCACCAGCTCGACAACGCCTTCATCCCCCTCCTGCACTTCGCCCTCTGCTGCCTCTAGCCCCCTCTGCCCCTCAACGCCCCCTCTGCCCCTCAATGGCACCTCTGCCCCTCAACGCCCCCTTATCCCTCAACGGCCCCGCTGCCCTCAACGCCCTGTCTGCCCCTCAACGCCCTCTCTGCCCGTCAGCCCCCCCCCTGCACCACTCGAATCCCCACAAAGCCTCCATGCACCTGCCACGCCACCTGAGCTGAGCCCACATCGCCCCCAACACACCTCACATGTTTCCCGAAACGCCTGGAGTGCTGTGCTACTCTCCAAGGTGGTGGGGTAAAATGAAACAAACCAATGTTTACCCTGAGGGTCATTGAGCAATTTTCCAAAAGAGCACTCTAAAATGTCAGGTTGAGAAAGCTAGCTTGCTTCTGTAGCAATCGTTATTATATTAGAACAATGCCAATTGTAATTGTCATCGCTCTCATTACAATGGGCTTAAGTAAAAGAGTTTCTAGCAATAATACTGATATACTAACGATTACAAGATGTTTAAGAACTGCTACTCTCCAAACAGGGCCTCAGATATCAGGATAAAAGATCCTGAATGCCCTGATTTCAGGATCTGTATGGAGCTCCAGGACTGATTTTTCAGTATTTGAAGAAGTTTAGGCCTGAGCAATCAGTATTTGTATGATTTTCCGTCCTGTGATTTCAGGATTTCAGTGTTCCCCGAACCCTGATCCTTCAGGATCCTTATGAAAACTACCCTGAATCAGCCTATACCGCATAAAAAATCTCTGGGACTAGATACAGAACCACCAACAGGGGTACAACGCAAGATACATGGCGTGCGGTGCGCCATGATAAAATCCGCACCGCTGTACAGCATCTCTTGCGCACCGCTGTACAGAAACACATCAAAGCTGCCAAGCATACCAATCAGGCAGCGCCGCGTCTAGGAACCCACGCCGCACACGGCAATTTTGCCGCGGTTGCATGAGACCTTACCATGCGCCACCCCCGTGGCCATCAAAGGCGGGTACAGGCTGTCGGCGGACCTCGTCCACACCACTCACCGGGGCGCCATGGCGCTTGACCGTGGAACTCTCCAGAATGAGGGTTTCCGGTCCAACCCTCCTCTTGTCGCCAGCAGTTCCTCCGTCTCCTGCTTCAACCCTCCTCTTGCTCTGCTTTCAGTCATAGTTAGCTTGTTGAAGCCCGGCTTTTGCTACCTCCTCGACATCGTATCTCACACGGTGTTTCCACAGGGTGACGGTGAAGCCCCTGCCATGCCTGACCGTACTCCAACTGCTCAGCCCTTAACGGGCCTCGATTTCCTGCGTTTTACACCAGTCATACCCTCGCCAATAATACCCTCCACAACCCTTCCGTCGCCAGCGGTACCGTCGCCGTCAGTACTGTCAAACATTATATATGTTGTGTTTGTTTAGGCTACAGTGGGTTAGCCTATAGGGGGTACACAATTCTAGGGTTAGGTACTTGTACTGATTTCACTGCTAGTTCAATCATTCCTGTCTGTTGATTTCGACATGGTTTCAGAGCAGGTCCTTCGCTAGGACCGTTCTTAGGGCCCACCGCTACCTACCTACCTACCTACCTACCTACCGTGCGCCCTCGTGCGCCTACGCGCCCCAGTGCGCCTCCTACCTACCGCGCGCGCGCAGCCCGCCAGCCAATCGCGCGCGGCTCGTTTTTTTTTTTTTTTTTTTTCACCGCGCGCGACCCGCTAGCTGCCCGCGCGCGGCCGATTTCTTTTGAGCGCGACCGGCTAGCCGCCCGTGCGCCGCTCGCACCGCTATAGCGCAGCCCGCAGCGGCCCCGCAGGCCTGCACATTGCCGCCCGCCCGCTGCAGCGCCCGCCCGCTCGTCGCCCGCTGCAGCTGCCGCCCGCTCGTCGCCCGCTGCAGCTGCCGCCCGCTCGTCGCTCGCTGCTGCTGCCGCCCGCTCGTCGCCCGCTGCAGCGCCTGCCCGCTCGTCGCCCGCTGCAGCTGCCGCTCGCTCGTCGCCCGCTGCTGCTGCCGCCCGCTCGTCGCCCGCTGCAGCTGCCGCTCGCTCGTCGCCCGCTGCTGCTGCCGCCCGCTCGTCGCTCGCTGCAGCTGCCGCCCGCTCGTCGCTCGCTGCTGCTGCCGCCCGCTCGTCGCCCGCTGCAGCGCCTGCCCGCTCGTCGCCCGCTGCAGCTGCCGCCCGCTCGTCGCCCGCTGCTGCTGCCGCCCGCTCGTCGCACGCTGCAGCTGCCGCCCGCTCGTCGCCCGCTGCTGCTGCCGCCCGCTCGTCGCCCGCTGCAGCTGCCGCCTGCTTGTCGCCCGCTGCAGCTGCCGCTACCACGGGCTCGCCGCTGCAGCTACCGCCTGCGCGTCGCCCGCAGCCGCTCCCGCTCGTGCGCCGCGGCCGCTACCGCCCGTGCGCTCCTGTTGCGCCTGCTACCGCTGCCGCTGCTGCACTCGCTCCCACTGCGGCCGCCGCTTCTGCGCCCACTGCCGCTCCCGCCCGTGCGCATCAGCTGCTGCCGCCCGTGTGCTGACACTGCCGCTATGGCTAAACCTACTGTACTTACTTTCGATGCTGAGGGCCGTCCAGTGAAGTTCGAAACCTGGCTCGATGACCTCCACCTCTTTCTACAGCTCACTGCTAAGGAGGACGTTTCACTGTACGATCACGCCCTAGGCAACGCTACTGCCCCTCCTACCACTGCTGACAGCACTCAGCGCTCACAGTGGCAGACTCGTGACGCCCACGCTCGCTTCGCTATTCGTAACTCCCTACCGATCGACGAGCGCGAGCACTTTGGCCAGCACAAAACTGCTAAGGACCTGTACACTGCTGTAGTCGCTCGCTACTCCTCCCCCGCTTCTGCCACACTAGGCCGCCTCACTCTCCCCTACCTGTTCCCCGACCTGGCCTCCTTTCAGACAGTTGCTGACCTCATCACCCACCTTAAGACCAGTGAGGCCCGCTTTCGCGCTGCTATGCCTGACGAGTTCCTCACCAGCAACCCCCCCCCGCTCTGGATCACTCTCTACCACATAGTCACCCGCCTCCCCGACTCCCTGCGCACAGTCAGGGACCACTTCCTCTCTCGCTCCCCCACTGAACTCACCATTGCCCTCCTCGAGAAGGAACTGCTTGCAGCTGAGGCGAGCATCGTCGCTGTAGGCACCTCTCGTGGCGACCCCCGCACCCCGTTCTTTGAGGGGTGTTCCCCTTCCCCTCTCCTCCCCTCTGTCGCCTCTGCTGCTGCTGTCGACCTCCTTGGTGCTGGGAAGGTCGGGGCCGCGTCTGCTTCGAGCGGGCGCCGCAAGAGCAAAGGGGGCAAGGGTGGAGGTGGCGGCGGAGGAGGTGGGGGTGGAGGCGGTGGGAGTGGAGGAGCGGCTGGGGAGGCTAGTGGCGGCAGTGGGGGTGGTGACAGCAGCGGCGGGAGTGGCGGCAGGGGTGGAGGCGGCAGCGGAGGCGGAGGTGGTCGTGGCAGCGGCAGGGGTGGAGGTGGCCGAGGCGGTGGCGGCGGCAGTGGTGGTCGTGGAGGCGCTGGCGGTGGCCAGAGTCAGCAGCCCGCCCCGTCGCTTCAGGCCGCCCGTGAGTGGTATGCGCAGCGTGGCTTTACCTGCACGTACGTCATTCGCACTGGTGACCGCACTGGCCAGCAGTGTGGGAGGCCGCATCCCACACAGCGCTGTTTCGCGCGCCTTACTGACGCGTGGCGTGCCCAGTTTCCTGATGCCACTGACCTGCCCCGCTGGGCTGATCTGGAGAAGAAGGGAGTTGATATCTGGGCTTTAGACTTTGATGCTATTCTCACTGCCATGTATGCGATGTTTACTAGTGGAGAGGGTGCTCAGTACTTGCGTGTTCCGCCCGACCCGGGCATTCAGACCAGTCCGGCTGCCGCTCTAGGTGCTAGTGAGTCTGCTGCCCCAGGTCCTGGTGAGGCTGCTGCTCTAGGTGCTAGTGAGTCCGTGCCCTCTGGTACTGAGTCGACTGCAGCACTGCACACCTTCACACTGGACTCAGGTGCTTCTCGCTGTTTCTTTCGTGACCGCACTGTCCTTGAGCCGCTTGCTCAGCCAGTTGCTGTCTCCCTCGCTGACCCCTCTGGGGGTCCGGTCGTTGCGACCTCCTCCACTGTCCTTCCTTGTCCTGCGGTCCCGTCAGGCACACTGTCAGGTCTCTACCTCCCCTCGTTCTCTACGAACTTGGTGGCAGGTAGTGCGCTCTAGGACGGGGGTGTTCACCAGTTCACCCCTGCTTACGAGCGCGTGACCCACTGCACGTGTGCTCGGACGGGCCGTCACCTGGCTACCTTCACTCGGCAGCCGGGGTCGGACCTGTACACACTGACCACTGAGTCCCCTCAGGTAGCTACGTCTGCGTCAGGTCAGCTGTCCGCCCCCTGCTCGTGTCGCTCTCTGGCGCATGAGACTGTCCTCTGGCACCACCGCCTTGGTCACCCGTCTGTGCAGCGCCTTCGGGCCATGCACAAACGGGACCTTGTTGCTGGTCTTCCCAGGGTTCTCCCTCCCCTACCACCCTCGCCTGCTCCTCCCTGTCTTCCCTGTGTCGAGGGGCGGCAGCGCGCCGCTCCTCACTCCTCCTCCTTCCCCCCGACGACTGCTCCTTTGCAGACGCTCCACATGGACGTGTGGGGCCCAGCCCGAGTCCGTGGTCAGGGTCAGGAGAGGTACTTCCTGATTGTTGTTGACGACTTCTCGCGCTACACCACGGTCTTCCCCTTGCGCACCAAGGGTGAGGTCCCTGCTGTCTTGATCCCTTGGATCCGCAGATCTCGTCTCCAGCTCAGTGAGCGTTTCCGCTCCGACTTCCCTGTCCTGCGTCTGCACTCTGACAGAGGTGGGGAGTTTTCCTCTGGCCTCTTGGAGGCCTTCTGTCAGCAGGAGGGCATTGAGCAGTCGTTCACGCTTCCGGCCTCTCCACAGCAGAATGGGGTTGCTGAGCGCCGCATTGGCTTGGTCATGGAGGTCGCTCGTACCTCCTTGGTTCATGCGGCTGCCCCCCACTTTCTGTGGCCGTTTGCAGTCCGATACGCTGCG